ATTTTTCTTCCTCTACTCTTCTGTCATTTTTCTGCTTATATAATTCAAAACGTTTTTAGTTGCAAGTGACTGAAAATTGTTTCAACACACAAAAACCTGTATCTTAATTGTTTATAGTAGTTCTATTTTTAACAATCCCAAACTGGAAACAACCAAAATGTCCTTCAAGAAGTGAATGGTTAAACATATTATGGTATATCCACATCATGGGATACTATTCAGCAATAAGAAAGGAATAAACTATTAGATACACACAACTTGGGTGACTCTCAAGGACATTAAAGCTGAGTGAAAAAAGCCAATCTCGGAAGATCACATACTGTTTAATTTCATTTACATAATATTCTCAAAATGACAAAATTATAGAGATGGAAAACAGATTAGTGATTGCCACAGGTAAGGGATGATGGGTGGGTTTGACTATAAAGGGGTAACATAAGGGAAGTCTTGGTGGTGATGTCTTTGTTAGATGAAAATACACAGGCGATAAAATGGCCTAGAACTATTCACACATTTTGTACTAACATCAATTTCCTGGTTTTGATATTGTACTATAGTTATAGAAGAACAGTTGGAGAAAACTGGGTGAAGAGGACACAGGACCTCTCTGTACCATTTTTGCAACTTCATGTGAATCTGTATCTCAAAATAAAAAGTAAAAAAAAATTGGATCAAGTGATGAAGGGTTTATGGAATTGGATAGTCCAGAGGGTGAATCTAATTTCAGGCAAACCTGGATTAAGGAGCTCAGGCAATGTCACTAGGAGCTTTCTCTCTCTCCTTTTTTCAGGTCTGCTCTCCTCTGTGTTGACTTCATTCTGCAGACAGCTTTCTCCAGGAAGCTGGGGAAGATGTCAGAGATCTATGCTTACATGATCCAATAGTAACCCAGGAAGGAAACAAATTCTCCATTCTTAGGAAAGACTCTAAATTTTGGATCGGATGTCCTCCTGGAACAGATCATTGCTGTTAGAAAGATGAAAAACATTGATGGGTTGTGGAGATTTGGGGGAGTGTGTGTGTATGTGTGTGTTTGTGTGTGCACGCACAGAAACAGCTCCGTTAGGACCTCACTGAGAAAGAGTGGTTTCCCTGAGAAAAAATGAGATGGTTTCATCAAACTTAGGTTAGGGTGGGTCAGGCAAAATACAGATTTCTGTTATACTACTAAAGTGTTATAAGGACAACCCTGTGGATATGTATAAATACTTGAAAATCTAACTTGCAAAACATTTGAATATTTGTATAGTATAATGAGGAGTGGTTACAGGTTTAAATTTTATGTATTTTGGGGGGAGAAAAGTAGAGGCTAGAAAGACTGAACAGAATTTAGTAATTAACTAAAGACCTATAAGAAACATACCAAGATATGGGGCAAAATGAATCTCAACAACATTGCATTGCAACTGAGGTTGATAACAAAAAATTAGAAATTCACTGTGGTCTCTAAATCATACAGAAAACTAAAATTTTATAGGTAAAATGATGAATAGCTGAAATAGGTTAAATTGAAGTTTTGGGAAAAAAGTAGAAGCCCTCTAACACTGATTCTAGGATTTAAAAATACCCACTTATGCTCTCAAACCTGGAAAATACCTTTTTTATTGGCAAAACCCCACTGTGATTATCTATTAAGCTCAGTGGTAGCTGGGGACTTTTTTGAGTCGGGGCCATTTTAGGTAGTGCTCTGTAGCACAAGACAGTAAAAGAGTTGTTGGTTGCCAGGGATGTACTTTGAATGAGGAGATTCTCTTCAAACTGTAGGGGCAGAGCTAATTGGGGACTAACAAAATAGTCTGGCTGTCTTGAAATTGAAAGGGGAAGTGAAATAAACTGGCAGACTTGTTTGGAGAAAGCAAAGGAAGCAGGCAAAGAGGAAAACATAAGAGCAGTCGGGTGGTGATCTTTCAGACTTAGTTTGAGTAGATCAGTGTTGTTTTTTTTTTTTTTTTTAAGATTTTATTTATTTATTTGAGAGAGAGAGAGAGAGCACGAGTGAGAGGAGAGGGAGAAGCAGACTCCCCACTGAGCAGGGACCCCAACTGGGTTCAATCCCAGGACCCCAGGATCATGACCTGAGCCGAAGGCTGATGCTTAACTGACTGAGCCACCCAGGTGCCCCTGAGTGGATTAATGTTTTATTTGATATAAAGAATTCAGAGGAGCGATATACTTGGAATGAAAGAACATTTTCAAATAGCATTTTGAACTGAGTAAGAATTAGGGTGGGAATTAAACCTATATTATTATTGGGAGGAAGAGGAGAGAGTAATAAAGTGTGATTCTGAAATAGCCACATAAAAGGAGAATGGGAAAGAGATGTGTGCAGGTGGTGGTGATACTAGAAAGGATCCTCAACATTTTGTATTTGAGAAGTGGCTTGCAGAGGGTAAGAACATTCTACCAGGATGAGAAATGAGGCGGAGGACATAGTATTTCTGTCCAAAGTCCCGATCATAGAACTGTTTTCCTCTCATGCCACTAATCTTCTTAATTATAACAGAGACATCTTTCACCTTCCATCTCTTTGAAAGTATAAGAATAAACTATTTTTTAAATTATAACTCCTGGCTTATTTTGTCTTCTATCTGCTTTAGGTACACACACACACACATGTGATAGAAATATCTCAGAACTAACCTTTCCTGACAGCTCTTAACTTGATGGACTAATCCCTATAGTGGCTGTTCTGCAGAACTTGCCATTTGCAAGGCTTGAGTGGTTTGTTAAATGATGTTCACTCTGAGAAGTATGGACTATCTGTCAACCACTGCCTTTTGGGGGAAGTTATAGGTGAGGGAGAACTTAGTACTCTACATATACAGTTAAAAAATTATTGTCCCGTGCTGATTCTTAAAACACACATTGTTTTTGGTCTTAGTGTCCAAGTGGTGTCTTCAGGCTTTGAATATGGAATCTTAACACAAAAAGACTCAGGATATTACCAGTGATTTTGTAACATATCTTACCTTAAGTGGTTGCCAAAAACTCAGGATCAATTTGTGAATATGCAATTGATTGACTAATCAATCCATAAATGCCTTCAGTGATACTAAGACTTTTATTAATACTTTACTAACAATACTTTGATATAAACACTATGAATTAAATATAATTTACTTAAAATTTTAAAATATAATTTTATAATTACAAAATGCATTGAGTAAATCTTTCCATCTAATCTCTGGTATAATCAATTTGCTGACCTTCATCCACAAATTAAATTACCTAATCACAGGTGGCCATGGGAGTGGAATTTTTTTTCTGTAGTAGATGCTTTTTGTACAGTTATTCATATGCAGAGTATTAGCCCCACATTGATGAATGCAATGTGTTTATTGTCTAGGGTTAACAGCAACCTTTTTATACAACTTTAGCTCAAAATCTGAATTCTGCCACCATCTAGTTGTGAGATTTTTTGGACAAATTAATTTTTTTAAAAAGATTTTATCTATTTGAAAGAGAGAGAGAGAGGCTGAGAGAGCAAGCACAAGCAGGGGAGTGGCAGAGGTAGAAGCAGATTCTCTGCTGAGCAGGGAGTTCCATGCAGGCTCGAATCCAGGACAGCAGCATCATGACCAGAGCTGAAGGCAGACGCTTAACCAACTGAGCCACCCAGGTGCCCCAGTTTTCTTTTTTTTTTTTTAAGATTTCATTTATTTATTTGATAGAGAGAGCATAAGTAGGCAGAGCGGCAGGCAGAGGGAGAGGGAGAAGCAGGCCCCTCGCTGAGCAGAGAGCCTGATGTGGGCTCGCGGGCTCCATCCCAAGACCCTGGGATCATGACCTGAGCAGAAGACAGACGCTTAACTGACTGAGCCACCCAGGCGCCACCCCCCTCCAATTTTTTTTCTTTTTTTTTTTTTTAAGATTTTATTTATTTATTTGAAAGAGAGAGACACAGCGAGAGAGGGAACACAAGCAGGGATGTGGGAGAGGGAGAAGCAGGCTTCCTGCCGAGCAGGGAGCCCGATGAGGGGCTCGATCCCAGGACCCTGGGATCATGATCTGAGCCAAAGGCAGACGCTTAACGAATGAGCCACCCAGGTGCCCCCAATTTTATTTTTTTAAAATTAACTTTCCTAAGTGTCTTCTTGGCATTTTATTTTTATTTTTTTTAAGGATTTACTTATTTGAGAGAGAAAGGGGGAGAGAGAGACACAGTGAGTGTGGGAGCTAGAAGCAGAGGGAGATGGAGTCTTAAGCAGACTTGGCGCTCAGCGCTGAGCCTGAAGCCGGGCTTGATCTCACGACTCTGAGCTGAAACCAAGAGTCGGATGCTTAACTGAGACTGCACCACCCAGGTGCCCTTCGTTCTCCTTTTTTAAGCAGAAAAATATATGTTGTTTACAAACCATCATCTGAAATACTTGTGGCTAGGAATTTGGGAATTCAAAAAAATTTTTTTAGAAAGGCAATATAGTACAATACTGTACTTATATATAAGTATCCCTCGGTGGGATCTAGGGCAACACCCTAAAATGCAGGAAAACCTTTGAATGTTCATTCCGAGTGGGATAAATAAAGACAATCATTAGTCTCACATTGGTGGAAGTCAGGCTTTAATGCCCAAAATTACAAAAACAAAAAACTAACTTTCAAAATCTATGAAGATTTAGAACTGTGTATGAGGGGCTGTGGACCTGTACCATCTATTTTAAAAGTTTGTGTGAGGAATAAGTGAAAAATGCATTTAAAGCACTTATCACATGGATGAGTCCCCCAGAACGTGACTATTAATTAAGAGCTATGATTGATGGCCCCTTCCCAAAGATGGGACACTTTATAAAGCTTGCGACTAGAAGTTTCTCTTAAGGCATGGTTAAAAAGTCCTGATTCTATAACTTGTATCTCTGATATAACACCAAAGCTTTAATTAAGCAGTTATCTTAGATATTTGTAAGTTATTTAAATGTGAAAAAAACAAAGGATAATTTAAAATAAATTTCTTATGAACACTAATCCTTTTACAAATTATTAATCATAAATTCAACATTTACATGTATAGTTCTGCTTTAACTGTTTTGAAAACATGAATTTGCTCCACCACCACTGAGAGATCAGGGGAACACGAGCAGGGGGAGTGGGAGAGGGAGAAGCAGGCTTCCCGTGGTGCGGGGAGCCCGATGTGGGGCTCGATCCCAGGACTCTGGGATCATGACCTGAGCCGAAGGCAGACGCTTAACGACTGAGCCACCCAGGCGCCCCATAAACTTCCTTTTATTTTTTATTTTTTTTTATAAACTTCCTTTTAAAAATATTACTTTATAAAAACTAAAATTTGTTTTAATAAGGTCTTAATTTCATAAAAACGAATGAAAAAGATTAGTGGAGTTAGCATTGTGTCAAAAGAGATTATTTCAAACTAGTCAATAACTCTTTTGAGTTTAAATCCCTACCATATACCTCTATTCTTTAATCCTGTTAACTTTATAGTAATTATTAATCTAGAACATTGATTAAAGAGATATTACAATTAGGCTTTCTTTGACCTGATGCCCTGTTTTGGCAGAATATCCCAGGTGAGTCATGTTGTGTGGACTATACTCTGGACACTACGATATACAAATACTGAATGCTCCAACCTATTCTCAGAAATGGTGTTCAGAGTTAGTGAAAAGACACGGAGCATCCTTGAGGTTCCTCTCTGATCTGTGATGTAATTTGACACATAAAATTTATTAGTTCAGTTGTTACTAAGAGCAATCAATTTACAATAGCAGTACTTAGGAAATTCACACTTAAAAATTTTACAAAGATGCCCATGATGCTTTCAAATGTGAATAAAACAGCCAATTGCAAGACAGTATAAATAGTATGATACAATTTTTGTAAAAAACCAAGTATACAAGTTTGTATATCAGTAAAATAAATGACCTGTCAGGATACCTAAATTATCAGCAGTGGTTACAACTGGAATGATACTGGTAGAGAATAAGGAGGGAGCACATTTTTACCGTTTATAGCTCTTGTCACTTTTTCAAACAAGATATTTTTTAATAAAAATATATATCAACTATTTTAGTTTAAATCAATCTATGGTGCTATGGACTCTGAGAAACAAACTGAGGGTTCTAGAGGGGAGGGGTTGGGGGGATGGGTTAGCCTGGTGATGGTAGTAAAGAGGGCACATTCTGCATGGAGCACTGGGTGTTATATGCAAACAATGAATCATGGAACACTACATCAAAAACTAATGAGGTAATATAATGTGTGGTTACTAACATAGCATAATTAAAAAAAAAATCCATCTATGGTGTTAGAATAGGGTTACCCTGAGAGGGAAGTGGGAGTGGGACACAAGGGAGGCTTCTGGGATACAGATGATTTTCTCTTCCTTGATTACTGTTTACATGGATGTGTTCATTTTGTGAAAATTCACTGAGCTATATATTTATGATTAGTCTACTTTTTACATGAATAAAGTTCACTTAAAAATTGTTTTATGGTAACTTATTGAATAGCATTGTTCTAGTTTAAATGCATATATTTTCTCTTTAATCATATATTCAACAGTTTTCTTTCTTCAGATTCATTATGATTTCTTCCCCCTTTTTCCTTAACATGGTTGCATTGCAAATGCATTATTATTATGGAGGGCAAAATGCCTAGCTTATAAAAATGGCATGTAAGAAAATCACTCTCATACTCAGCCATAAAAAATGAGATCTTGCCATCTCAACATGGATGGACCTTGAGGGTATTACGGTAAGTGCAGTAAGTCAGACAAAGAAAAATGAATACCATATGATTTCACTTGTATGTGGAATCTTAAAAACAAAATAAGTGAACAAACAAACAAAGCAGAAACAGACCCATAAATACAGAGAACAACTGCTGGTTGACAGGGGAGAGGGGTGGGAGAAGGGGGAAAAAAAAATCGCTCATATCTTATGGTATGAAGTAGACCATGAGGTATGGTCACCGAATCCTGTTAACCTAATTCATCAGTACCTGGTAAAAGAGTATCTTTTGAAACACATAATTTCCTAAAACAGATGGAAAGGAAAAACAGGCAAAAGTGACGTTAAACAGGCAACACAGCTTGTTTCCTAAGATCAAGAGTCTCTTAGGGCTTGTCTCCTTCTCTGGTTTCGTCTTGTTTCATTTTCTCCTCTCTTCCCCTATGATCCTCTGCCTTGTTTCTTAAATTCCACAAACTGAGGGTTGCTGGAGGGGAGGTGGGTGGGGAGGATGAGGTAACTGGGTGATGGACATTGTGGAGGGTATGTGTTGAAATGAACACTGGGTATTATGTAAGACTGATGAATCACATGAAAAAAATAATACATGTTAATTAATTGAATTTAAATTAAAAAAAAGAAAAAAAAAACAGGCAACAGAGCTAAAGTCTTAATGACAAAGGGACCCCAAGGAAATTGTGTATGGTGGTTCTTCCTATGACAGACTCTGTGTGCACATCTATAAACATGGAACTACCAAAGTCAGAGTTGGAAGGAACTTCAAAGATCATTACTGCATCTCATACTCTCTCAACCAGATTTTAAGTTGAAAGACATGACTAAACTAAAAGACCTAAAATGTTTCAACTGGTTGTTAAGTGGTTGTTTGCTTTGGTGGAACAGTTCCCAGGCCACATAAAATTAAAAGTGTGTTTAATCAAGTATTTGTTGCATTCAGAAGATGAACAGGTCAAACAAGGCAGGTGAACAATATGATTTCGTTGCAGCTCTGTGTACTATACTTCCTATAGGAGAAGGAATGATTAAAACTGTCTCACTATCATTAGGAATATATGGATCATTTTCAGACTTGGTTCTAGTGCCATATATCCTGATCTAATCTGAAATACAAATCTACAAAATTCACATTTTATATAAAATAGTTGAAAGTGTGTAAGGGGTACTAACAAGACAGAAAAGCAAACACTGTAAAATCTGTATCTTTAATATACTGAGTAGCAAGGAACAATATTAGTATTTTATTCATGAAGACTACTTAAATAATCTTTACAACTTTATGGGCACATATATGTACATCTGTACATCAAAGTATTTTTGGAAAGGAAAGTCCTATATATGATTAAAATAATATACGACCAAATACATCCTGGGCCATAATTTTATCACTTCTAAATTCTCCTTGTTTAAAAAAAACTAAGGATAATTTAATTCACTATTTTCTAAAATGTCCTAATCAACTTGTTGTAGCATAGTAAAACTGACGTGCCACTATGCCTACTTAGGGATTATAAAGGGTAACAAATATTTTAGTAACTTTATTAAAACATAACCTTTTCTGTTGAAATTTAATATTTGCTTAGAATACAAAAGAACAAAACAGAGAATTTTATTTTCTGCTTGCTGAAGGTATTTGGGTAAACCTAGTTTTAAGATGGTCTTCTTTCAAAGGTTTTAAATAAGTTTCTGAAAGGGCACTGGCAACAAACCCTTTCAAAAGGAGACTTGTCAATTCCATTTTCCTTGATTTTGAAGTGACTTATCTTAGACTTCCTTTTGAAATACTTCTTCCAAATTTTCTAACCATGTTTGGCTTTACTTTATGGATGTTTCTTTTATAGTCTAGAGAAGAAATAAAAAGACATATAAATATGGTAAAAGTATTCAAAGGAATTTTCTCACTACTCATTCAAGTTATAAAAATTTGTTAAAATTACATACATAAGAAGAAAAATTTATCCTTAAAAATTCATAGTTGTTAACATGATTTAAAATATAACACGAAGGAAACATTAATAACATTGGTTTCAAAGTAGAAATTCATTTCTCCATATTGCCAACTGAGTTTTTAGTGTACGCATGTGTACACCCCCCCACCCCAGCAGGTATCAAATAACATCACTGAATAAACTACTGCATTTAATTTTAGTTCTTTTGAACTAATGCAAGGCTATTCTACAAGCATTGTTCTCTTTCTTTTTGGCAACATCACTTTTTTCCTCATTCTATGGGTTACTTCCCTAAGGCTTCTAAAATGCCATATTTTTCCTATTTTTAGGAGTATAATTTGCATCTAGTACTTTCTTAAGTGCTAATCCTGATCCCATAGCTCTTATTCCTTTTACTGCCACCTCTCAAATGTCCATTTCCTCTGGTTCTTCTCCAGCCTTCACAATGATTGTCTACTCAACCAAGTGTTGTTAAAACAGGTGCTGCTGACTTCTCTATGGCTGAGTCTAATCTCTTATCCATTTTCTTGTCACATTAGGTTTTAGTTTTAGGGGCACATATTCTCTTGACAGTATTCTTATTTCTTGGTAAATAGCAGTTACCTTCTTTCCCACTGATGTTCCTTTGTTTTTTTATTTGTACACTGTTAGTTGGAGAACTCAGTTGAATATATTCTAAGAAAGGCAGTCCCAGTTCTCTCCTTCCCTTAAACTAATACCTCTTTCTAAGTGTTCCATTATCCTTAACAATACATAATCTTTTAACCCAGCTTTAGCTCTTCTTTGCTCTTTGGCAAGCACTGCAGTTTAGTATCAACTCTTACTTCTTCCTATGTAGAATTACTTTATTCACCTCTCTTTATATATGAGATATTTGATGCATTTTATGCCATTCTTAGAAAATATGCATGTTAGAAAAACCAAATCTCTATTTGAGAAGTATCATAAATTTATTATTCAGCTGTAGAATTATGATTTCCTGGAGAATTTTTTAGGAGACAAATGGGGCAGTACATATCCATACCAACTGCACATACACACTGTTAAACATTACTAAGTTTGGCGTACTAAACCAAATAATCATAGTAAATTTTACGTTTCAGGACATTTTTGTTTGATTTTTAAAATGTGCACACAAGGCATTTCCACTGAACTTAAGGATGCCACTGGCTACTACAAGAAGTGAGGATTTATTAATACAGTTTGGCAAAGCTATTGAGAACTTTTATATTATTCTAATGAAAGAGCACTGACAGAAAAAAATAGCAATAATTTTCATGTTATTCTTAGAAACCCTCATTATCTCATGAAACCCCTTTAAATTCCAAGTGCTGTAATTATGAGTTCCTTTAGGGAAGAAACCAAACTGGGTCTTAATGATCTTGCTATCTGTCACAGAAACTAGCACATATCAGTGCATAGTAAATAAATACTTCTTAAATGAAGTCTTAGGAATTATAGTGTCAGAAAGACAGAGGTCTGGACACCAAGGCCTAGAAACTGGTTTGTGCTATATATCTCTAACTTCACTAAAGATGTGGTTTTGTTACTATAGATCCATGTCACCGCCATTTGCAATTGAGAGGATGTAGTCATAGCCATCAGCATCTTTTTCAACTTGATAATAGGAGTTACATTATGACTGTAACTAGGTACAGACTGAAGCCTGGCAATAATTGTACAAATGAGTCAGAGGGCAAATTATTAATAATAAGAGAGAAATTTCAAGTAGATAAAGTTTATCTGTAAAATATAATCATTAACCTATTAAATAATACATTTAGCTAATTATTTCAATTATTAAATTATTTACGAATTCTTCTGCAGTATGAGGCAATATGGATAACAAAAAGGATACAGAATATAGAGTTAGAAGTCTGGCTCCACCATGAAATATCTGTGTGATCTCGGGTATTTTCTATTTTGTGTCTTAACTTTTCTTTTCTGTAACATGGATAATCACACTTAACATCTAATAAACCAAATAATCATAGTAAATTTTACGTTTCAGGACATTTTTGTTTGATTTTTAAAATGTGCACACAAGGCATTTCCACTGAACTTAAGGATGCCACTGGCTGGTGATGAGCAGATAAAAGGAGATTCTAATGAAAACACTGTAAGAAAATGTAAAGTAGTATACATATGTTTGGTAATCATGTTATTAAATATCAAATTAAGGGCTGAGACATACCCACTGTTGGTCTGTTTTCTTGTAAGTCCTTTTCACTTGCATTATCTTGTCGAACACGTTTGGCAAATCCAGAATTTACCTCAGCAGTTAATGAAGTATTTGATGCAGAACTGTAAGGGAAAAATTTTTTATTTTAGTAAAGCATTTTTTATAAGTTCTTTTTTTCTCATTTTTTATAAGTTCTAATACATATATGCAATAAAGATTAAAGAGAAAGTAAAATAATAAAATAATAAGTTGCAAAATCACTTAAAAGTAATTGGAGGTACTAAATACCTTTTTGGCCCATAGGGAAATTTGTCATGATTTTAACGATGTTTATTCAAATTGGAGATTATGACTGTAGATGTATGTAACAATTCTGTAACAAAACATTTTCAGGGTGCTCTGCTAGAATACAAGCCAACACTATTATTCAAAGTGTAGAGATAAAAAGCATCTTGCAAGAGGTGAAAAACTAAGCTCATATTATAAACTTGGAGTGAGAACCTTAATCTGGGGAATATAAACAAGTGAGATTGTTTAGAAACCTTGTTTTCAAATCAAAGCATGGTAATAGGCTGAGAATCTCTCTCTGATTACTACAATTATAGAAACCGACATGAAAAGAATGAACTATTTTCATTTGTTTTATCTTAAAAAAATTTTATCAATCTCATATACTAAAGGGTCAAATTTCCAACTCAATTCCAGTTGACATATTACTACTAAACACCTACTACTGTGGCCTCATGTACAAATAAGTTAGGCAGTAATAACTCCTGTTCTGAAAACTTACATAATGAATATATGGTGGGGAGGGGGAAAAATAAGACAAATACACAAAATAATACAAGGTAAAGTAAAAGACAGTGCTATAGGTTTTCAAACTATAAGGGGCTGTAGGTTCCTGATTTTAAAAGTAGGAAAACAAAAAAACCAAAAAAACAACTGAAAGATTTTGTGGATGAGATGAATTTGATCTGGGCCCTGAAAAATAACAGTCCAATCATTCTTAACCCAAGGAGGATCAAGTTTTAACAGGCAGGGTTGGGATGAGTGAGGATCCCTCCTCCATACTGATTCAAATAAGCTAATTTTAGGGAGTTTCTGATTAAAAAAGATATCATATACCATTTTACAAGTTGATACTAGTTTGATTTTCAGTTGCATTAACACTTGGAGGCTTCCCTTTTATGGCAACAATTTGCTCTTCTGGTAATCCTAACCACATGGTAAACTGATGTGGGTGTGTTTGAGGAATAGGGAGAAGATGGATTTGTTGTATGGTTATCAAAAGTGGTCAGAAATGGCAATTTAATATGATAGCAAAGAAAAATAGGCAGGAGTACACTGAATGCTGGCAAAAAAACTCAACCTATGTACCTCAACTTTTCTAGAGCCTGTAAGAAAAATGATTATGGTGTAACCAATGGTAATTTTACCTACTCTGTTCAAGAATATAAATGATACCTACCCAAAATGGTAACAAAAAAGTACTAATATTATGAAAACAAGGAAATACAGTTGTAGAAAATCTCCATTCTTAAATGGTGCTAAATAAACTAAGTTACAATAATTCTGTTTTGGATACTAAACACCCTTTTTGGATAAGATATGTATCAGCTCTCTAAGGCAAAAATTCTTTTTTGGTCATTTGGTGATTTTTCTTCAAGTATACAGATCATTGTCATTGGTTACTTTTGATAAGTGTTGGTTTTTCCAACAATTTTTCTTAAAATTATCTTTATTATTTTATGGAATTATTTATCACTTTGCTTAGTTCTAGAACATCTGTGTTTACTAATAAATTGTTTTTTACTTGAAAATTAGGCTTTTGAATAAATCTATCTGAAAGAAACCTCATATTTCTAGGAATGAAAACAAAGCCTAATAAAATAAATTGTATATATATAAGTAAAATACATGCAAGCATTTTTTAGGATTTAGATAAAATAACCACTGGTGAGATGTTTAACATTCATGTTATAAATTTATTTTAGATTTACGTTGGATCATAAAATAAGACTTAAAATTATTCAAATTATGTTAAAGACTATATTAAGAAGAAATTTAAAGACTCTTCTAGTTATGTGCCAAATATATTTCCATAACTATTAATGAAAGTTAAGATTTAATCTTTTGTTCCCTTATATAAATAGTATGTTTCTGCTTAATTAACATATGCATATCATAGTCTTTCAGTTGAGATAATTTCTTGTTGGAACCATTAAATGTCTTTCAAAACAAACCAAAAATGTGTGACAAATGTGAGACTCATTTCTGGGTGCTAAGAAAGATTATGAAACAAACAAAAAACCAACTAACCAAATACACAAAGCAAACAGATCCCCCAAACTCTGATTAATATAATTTGTAAGTAAAATTTTATATACGGATATATTTGTATATTTGGTAGGCTGATTTAGTTAAAACAGTTTGCTACAGTGATATTAAATGAATTAAAATCATTAAAAATTTAGTATTCTCAATTTAAGTAGTGATTAAAAAATTGAGTTTTGTAGGTTTTTACAATATCCAGTGCTTTTGGACTCTAAATTTTTTTCAGAGAGAAAAACTGATACAACTGAATAAAATAGCTATACACCTGGAGCCTTCCCTTCATTTAAAAAAAAGTATTAGAATATACACACACATACACACACACACACACCCCTATAAATATGTACATAAAGCTGTTAAGTGGAAAATACCAGAGTTTATTACTCTCAAACTCATGTAGGTTTAATTGGGGAAAGGGAAGATTAAAAAAAAAAAGTAATTATGTACATTTCTAGCATTAATCTCTTTTAACCTTAGTTAATGGCAGGATCTAATTATTGGTACCAGAGGGAATGTAATAGAGCAATTAATAGGCTATGAGAAATCTTACTTTCTTTATATGTCCTTTAATATTATTTCACAATATTAGTTGCTCATGTGGAAGCTCTTTAATTCATCTCAAACCACTCTGAATATACAGTTTACATACCTAGACATTTCCTGAAAAACCATTTGATTTTGATAATGATTATGTGTACATTTTAAATTATTGTTAACTATAAGATTTTGCTACATCTTAGTTAACACAACAGAGTTGTGAAGAACCAGAAAAGTCACCAACACTAATTAAGGGAAAGAATAACACAATCCACACAATGAAAGTTAGTGATAAGATGATGATGGTTAGCTAGGCTCACTCATTAAATGACTGATACCCATACATGAGTCAGACAAATTGCTCCATTTAAATTTGTGCCATAGCAAAATACAGAATTTTAAATGTCATGGGTAGTTAGAGGCATTCTGGAAAAATCAGTCTATTAATTTTAAATCTACATTCCAAGACTCTGCTGTACTTTGGAGGGGAAAGGACAGACCTTAAATGCACCTATGAGATAATACTCTATGTGGCACAAATAGACTATTTGTAAATTTGTTTAGACTAGCCCAGATGATAACAGGTTCATGAAGGAAAATAGGAAACTTAAAGAGTTACCCTATCTTAGGTCTTATAGTCTTTTCCTCATAATCACATGTCAAAGAAAAAGAGGTAAAGCAAGTCAGAGCCATTTTACAATATAACCACTCACTGTATCTTGTGATTGCATTCAGTGTTGTGGGATATAAAGACTATATAATGGACTTTATGTCATATAATTCAGTATATTTAAGATTTTTCCTTGTCTTTGATTTTTAGCTGCTTTATTGCTATGTACCTAGGTATGTTTCTCTTTGTATTAATGTTGCTTGTAGTTAGCAGAACTTCTCGAATCTGTGGTTAGTTATCTTTTGTCAGTTTTGGAAAATTATTAGCCAGCATCTCCTTAAACACTGTTTTCCCCATTTTTTTTCTCATTTCTTTCTGGGACTCAAAATATATACATGCTAGACCTTTCTATGTCCCATATGTCTTTTTCACTCTTCTCCATATTTTCTATCTTATCCCTTTGTACATTGGTTTAGATATTTTTCTGTCAACCCTATCTTCCAGTTCACTAAACCCTCTTCTGCTGTGTCTAATCTATTAAATTATTTATTTATTCTTAATTTCAGTAGATTCTAATTTTTCAGTTCTAGAATATTCATTTGATTCATTTTAATACAATCCAGTTCTTTGGGAAATTGCCACTATTTTGTTGAACTTAATCACAGTTAAATTTTTAAAGTCCCTACCTGATAATTTTCTTATCCGAATCACTTGTGGATCTAGATTTTTAGTCATTTGGTTCTGTCTCGTGACATACTTGGTAATTTCTGCTTAAGTGCTAAACATGTGAAAAAACCCCAAAACTGTTGATGTCCTAGTTGGTATATTTCTCCAGAAGTGATTTAATTTTCTTCTGGCTAGCAGGCAGAACAGAGATAGATCACCTCGATCCAAAAGGGACTAAGTTGGTCTGAGGTCTTTTTCAGGCTTTCAAGAACTGGTCTATTTCCAGTTTGCCCTACTCCTAGAGCACAGGCCTTCAAGGGTTTCAAATAAAATCCTGGGGGGTTAACAAGCACCTTTTCTTCTCAATAATCCCTGAACAGTTTTTGTGTCCTAGCCCCATGAGAACGTTAACATTCTGCTTAATATTTTAGCTTCTTACAGCTTTGTTTCTTGGCCTCTTATGCCAGAGTTCAGAACATGGCAAATATCTTAACTGCAAAAGCTACACACAGAATTATTTTGTTTCCTAACTCAGTGAGACTGCTGATAGCTGTAGGCTTCCATTTTGTGCTTGGCTTCTATACTTGATGCCATGAGTTGGCAAATACTAAATGGAAAAATGAGGTAGAGAAGGTTTGGCTCTCTATAGCTTGTTTTCCTTTCCTCTGGATCTTAGACCTTCAGGTCCTGGCTGTCTTGGTTGGTCTCCAGTGCCTGGAAAGCAGCTGTTGCTTGTATTTTATCACCTTTTATCATTGTTTTTGATAGGTGGTTTGGTCTGATATAAGCTATATTGTTAAAGCCAGAAATAGAAGTCTCTTCACTCATTACATTTTAGTCATATATCAAAATCTATTAAAGTAATACAATTTTAGGACTGAAGAAATTCATTAATGTATAAAAAGAAAAATACCAAATGAGTAAAAGTTGTCACCAGAAGAAAAGTTATAATTAAATGACATTTTTGAAGGCCAGAAAACTTTTCAACTTATTTTTAATAATCTGAGATACGGAATACTTTATGTAAATAGCAAGTGAAATACTTGGGCTTTATCAAGATCTCCCTTTGATAATATAAATCCAGTGCCACATTCAGAGCAATTAATTATATGTTTTAAATATGAATTCACAGTTTCATACAAGAAATAAAAAGGAGCTGTAGGAATAGAGCTGTAGGAAACAAAGTATAAAGATGACCTTATGTGAGCACTGAGCCAGTTTATGGTTAATTGTACCTTGTTAACTTCCGTTTCCTTTTGGCAGCAGCAGTCATTGCCATGTAGGATGGTACTATGCTTGGTATAGGCAGAGGATGTTTAGTTGAGAATGAAGAAGAGGCAAGCCTGTATATTAGATTAAAAAAAATAAAAGGAGTAATTTTGATTTGTATTATGGAGAAAAGGGGGGCATACACTTTCATCATTACAATACCATTTTTTATGAATATATAAAGAAAAATATTATTCTAGACTATGAAGCCTCTCTCATTTGCCCTGGGGTTTTCTTTTCTCTTTTTTATATCATAAAAAGAGTTGCTCTTAAGAGATTTCTGCATCTTAACAGCATAGAAAGGTATCATTCTTCTCATATTTGGATTACTTGTGATTATACAGATGGAGTGTACAGGATAGGAAATGAGAATAAGTGAGACAAAATGAGAAGGATGTTTGCTTGGATGACATGTAGTCAACCGTACCTTAGAAGTATAATGATTCAGGGTAAGCTGAGGTTTGCTGAGCGTCAATTAAAAAAATGTGAGATTTCCTTTAGTGAACATATTAATAATTAATAATTAACATAGTAATCCTCCAATGATGGCTTATATCATCTAACTTTGGAGTATGTAGAACAAACTAAATATATCTTAAGGTTTCTTTTAGCTTATTGAGGGCAATCAACTAAGATATCAGATTAAAGACTTTAAAATATTGTGTTAGTGGATTAATATTTAGAAAGACATTAAATGAAGGTAAAACATTGACTTTTGTAATCAAGACTGCATACTTGACCCATGAAATAGACCTTAAATATAACTAAGGAAGAAAAAGAAAGCTATGGTTTAAAGGCTACGTAAATAACAAAACAAGAACAAAAACACAAGAAGAATTAGAAAATACTCTTTTTTGTACCCTTGTAAAATGTTATTGTTTGATAGTGATTCTTGTTCAGGTAATTTACTCTTCAAGCTCCTGATGTCTTCACATATAGTAAACGTAGAGTCCAAATCTTCCTGTCCATATTCTTTTCTCCTGCTGAGAGGAATATCTACTTCACATAACATTTTCAGAGAATTATCACTGTTTACGTTTGAGCTGATGGTCTGAAAACCTGTAGTATGTGATGATGGTTTTAATAACGTCACTAGAGATGAATTTTGAGATGTTTTTCTACAGTCTTCTGGTGTATACACAATAGGTTGAAGTTCTTTGCTGAGAGAATCATTGAGCTGCAAACTTTCAGACAGTGCAGACTTTTGGGGATGTTTTGCTTTCAAAGGAGAAGGCATTAGTTTTCTTCGGGTTCTTTTTTGTGGAGGAATTTTAAGTAGATTAGATTCACCTGAAGATGTGCCTATTCAATAAAATTGAAAAGAATCTCAGTAATGTCACCTAAATAGTTTTCCAATAACCCTATCAGTTAAACAACAACATCACCACCACCAATAATAAAGTACATTTTCTGCCAATTGATGAAAATTTAAAAGAAAGCTGGAAAGAAAAACAAAACATAAGTTATTGATAGTAACTCCAAATAATGTTAATGAACTAGTTATAAAGATATTTTAGAACAGAAATAATGGTTAATATCAATACTAATTTGTAGACATAGCAAAATTGAGGTTGGGGTAATCATGAAAACAAATTTCCAACAAATGCTAATGAAATTCGTGAGCAATTTCCAGCTTTTATATTTGACTTAGATTTAAGATAACAAAAAAGTATTCAACAATCATAGGTACAGAGATTAGTAACTTGTTCTACTATAAAATATCACCAGTTATTTGTTGAGTGGAAGTCTAGTCTAAATTAACAGGAATGGCAATAATCAATAAAATTCTAGGTGAATGAAAGAATTAAATCTGTTACGATCTCAGGTATGGTAGTTAATTAAGCATTCTGATTGTTTCCTATATCATACATAATTCATAGGTTTTCGAAAATTAGATTAATACCTTAAGATAAATGAACATAAGCTGAAGAGGTCAGAGTACTCTTACATGAACCTCATCACTCTGTACAAGTAAGTCTCCCAAATGTCAATAGGTCACTAAGTTTAATGAACTTTTCTTAGCCCTATCCTACAACTTCTGTAGCTTTTCAAATTTCCCTACTACCTCTCCAACATCTGTTACCTTGTCTTCCTTCATCTGGTAAGTATATATATTTCCCTAAAGAAATACACTCTTATTTGTAATTATCCTCTTGCCACTACTTTTTCAGTCACGTGGGTCCCAAATAACCAATTTTCATCATTTCCTCGCATTTTCCAACTTTCACCAATCCTAGCTCTCCTACACTTAAAATTAAGACATAATTCTGATTATGTCATTCTTCTGATTAAAGACTTCTGGTGATCTTTAACATAAACATGATATCCAGAGATTTTCAGTAGGGAAATTCCTGTTTCTTGGTCCAAAATTAAGAGACAAATTGTTTTGTTTAAACTTAAGTTTGAATTCCCATAATCTAGACATGCTTAAATATTTACCTCTCAAACATTTTTTTAAAATATATAAAGTAATGATTGATTGCATACATTAACAATAAACTTCATCAACTCGAGTGTGCTAATCTTGTATTTCTTAGTTCACTTTTTTCTGCTTTGCCTGTTCCATTCATGGTGAACTTCAGGTGCCTGACATGAAGTAACTTTGCTTCAAGTGTACTGTCCAGGAAAGAACTACAATGTGTATTTCTGCCCATGTTTTTAAATCATGCAATAAAATTCCCAACTGATGTTAGATTTGCTTTATGATAGAATACTAACTTAAATAACACTGAAAGCTGCATAAGTGTTATGTATCTCAATAAAGCAATTCAAACTCTCAACCAAGTTAGAAAATATAACAATCACCAACAGTACATGCATTATTCTTATTATGTTAGTTCATGATAGGCTCTGCTATGGCTAGGTTGACAATTACCCTCTAGGAAAGACAACTGAAAAACAGGAAGAAAAATATGATCCCTGTTCTACTAAGGAATTTTACTTTTCTGAGAACTAGATAAATGAGATCCAGATCTTAAAATAATTTTCCACTCCCTTTAACATGACATTTGTCAAATTTTCCATTACCAGATATTTTTATACTAATGCTGCAGTGTAAAGACAGTTACTTTTCTCCACTGTGCTGCTACCACCAATTTGGTGGCTATTAATAGCTGAAAGATTAACTTCTTTTCCCCTGAGAGGCAGCAGGGGTATATAGAAGATAGAAAACTATATCGAGGATAGAGAGCTGAATTGGGAGTCAGGAGACTTGGATTCTATTTCTGGCTTCAGCAACAACTCACTGAGTGACCTTGGACAACTCATTTAAGCAGTGTGGGCATTAATGCCCCCTAGAAAAAAGGGGAGAGTACCTTCATGTACAGGGAATTTTCTAGGATTAGATAATATCTATAAAATAATTAGAGTTCAAAGAAAGGCTCTAGAAATGTAAATATACTTCAACTGTTAGCATTACTACTTTCATAGAGAAAGTTATAATTTACTTTTCAGTATCTATCAATGCATAGTTATCATTAAAAGAACACATTTCAAACAATGTCTCACTTTCAGTTTATCAGATACCCAGTTTATCAAGGCTGATGATAAATTGTAATATAAATGAAAAATATTGTTAAAGCATGCACATCTAAGTGTTCTTTGAAAATGCAGGCTTCATAGCAATATTTTAAAACTTAAAACACAATGGAACATTAAATCTCAAGAGATATGGATTATCCAGAGTCACTTTTTTTTCTTGCACACAGTATCTAGAGAGGGATAATCCCTGGAGTGGCACTGGGCAAATTCTCAAGATGGTGGGCCACTTTTCTCCTACTGCTTGTAAAAAAACATGGAAATAGGGGCCTTCCATAAGACACTAAAGAAATATCCACCTGTTCTCCGGGATAATCTGAATATACACCCAACATCAAATTTTGATATATCAGACTAACAGTTTGTCAGTGAAATCAATAGCAATGTTGTAATGATGTATCTCTAGCTATAATTCTGCTCTCCTGGAAGGATAAAAATGGTAACTTGAAGGAGAAACATGGAGATGTGGTAGTTAGTATAGATTCAAACACCACTGTTTTCCTGAGCCTGGAAGAAGAGATGCTACAAACATAAAGCATATGCAAAACACAAATCCAGAGGGTTCTTTTCTTTTTATCCTTTCAATTATTAGATACATAAAATAATAAGAAAACAGATGGTCAATTCAGGACTACTAGGCTGACTTGTTGCTCAGAAAGGTTCAGGAGATAACCTGAGCAAAAACAAGATTTAAAAATTTAAATACAGGGGCGCCTGGGTGGCTCAGTCGTTAAGCGTCTGCCTTCGGCTCAGGTCATGATCCCAGGGTCCTGGGATCGAGTCCCACATCGGGCTCCCTCCTCGGGGGGAAGCCTGCTTCTCCCTCTCCCCCTCCCGCTGCTTGTGTTCCTGCTCTCGCTATCTCTGTCTCTGTCAAATAAATAAATAAAATCTTTAAAAAAAAAAAAAAAAAAAAAAAAAAAAATTTAAATACAAACTCAACAGTCACTCTATTGTAACTACAGTGGGATTATGTCTCCATTTAATCCATGAAAAGTAAAAGAACACAATAAGCTGATACTTCAGTTTGAATATGTTTTCCAGAATATATAAATGCAATTATATAATAAACATTCTCCTTTAGCTAATTAGGTGATAAAGTACATTAAATGGGTATGGCAAGCTGGAGTGTTGGGTTAGGGGCACTGCACATTTTAACAGGCTTTCAGAAACATTGAGTATGCTAGCTCTATGTCTATAAAAGAGATCTGCTGTACTTTTCCATTAGAGGATGTACAGTAACTTTCCAGAAGACAAGGCTTGGGGTAGTTGTAGTTTCCCCTGATTCAGCCTGGGAAAATACTATCTAACAAGATTCTGTGATTCTTGGGCCTACAGAGTGGAAATGATAAAAAAGGAACCTGGAAACAAATAATACATTATATGTTAAAAAAAAAAAGAAGAAGATAGCAGGAAGGGAAAAATGAACGGGGGGAAATCGGAGGGGGAGATGAACCATGAGAGACTATGGACTCTGAGAAACAAACTGAGGGTTCTAGAGGGGAGGGGGGTGGGGGGATGGGTTAGCCCGGTGATGGGTATTAAAGAGGGCACGTACTGCATGGAGCACTCGGTGTTATATGCAAACAATGAATCATGGAACACTATATCAAAAACTAATGATGTAATATATGGTGATTAACATAACATAAAAAAAAAAAAGGAACCTGGAGGCAGATTATGATTCCTTTAAAAAGACTTCATAAAATGAGAAAAGGAATCATGTAGTTACAGACTTTCAGGACAAGGGACTCTAATAGATGATGATAGTCAATAAAATACCTCAGTAATGTGGGTGTCACACAGGAGAGGATAGAAAATTAAAATGCATTGTTATAAGGTAGGCTCTTAAAAAGTGGGATAAAATGATTAGTAGCCACTTGGGAGGATAGCAAGTCTTCTCTCCTGGGCCTTTCATCTAAAAAAAAAGCCCACTACACCATATATTTGAGTATAGAAGGTAGTGGGTAGCAATGTATCTTATGGTCTAGAAAAAGCAGTTTTGGGACTTTAACTCTCTAACACATTGTGGGTATACTGCATTTCTAACGACCTGAAATGATTATGATCCATGGCATGTAAGTGAGTATGTTGAAATTCATTTCCAGATAATAACAATAACCATATTGTCAAGACATTTAGAAGGAGAAGTCACTACTACTACTAATTTCAATCTAGGAACAATGTTTATTTTAATTATGAAAGGAAATAAAAGTTTTAGTCAACTGTGGTACAAGAGAAACAACTAAGAGGACTGCATCGGCATAAAAAGAAGTCATTGTTTGCTCATCCACCCAGCATTAAGCACCTGCCATGTTCTAGACCTTTGCTAGGTTTTGAGAATCTAGCAGGAAACAAGACATTTAAGAACTTACATTTTGGGGGGAAGAAGGCAGAAAAATAAATTATCTTAATTAAGATAATCATGACAAATGAGTTGGAAAGACAATAAAACAGAAATGGAATAGAGTGATGGGAGATAGGAGGGGTACTGATTAGATGGCAGGGGAAGACGACTCTAAAGGTCAGATGTGTGATTGGAGGCTTGAATGGCTGTGCAGGAGCCAGTCCTGTGAAGATCTGGGGAAAGAAGCAGAGGAAATAGCAAGAGCAAAGACCCGACGGCAACAATAAATTTGTTGAGCTCAAGGAAAGGAAAGAAGGCTAATGTGATTGAAGTGTAGTGAGTCAGAGAAGAGAAGAGACTAGAGAGATCAAAAGGGGCCAGCCTGTGTTAGGGTTTATGAACAAGATAAAGGTCTGCA